TACTTTGGAGGGTCAATTCAAGCCATCCTCGACTATACAAGTGAGTTTGAGGCCAGCCTAGCTTACACAAGACCCTGTCTCAAAAAATAAACAAGAGCTAGAAAGATGGCTCGGCAGTTAAGTGCACTGGCTGCTCTTCTAGAAAACTGTTGCCAGCCCACACATGGTGGCTTACAACCATCTGAAATTCCAGTCCCAGAAGATCTGATGCTTTTTTCTGGCCTCCACAGGCACTGCAGGTATATAGTCAGACATTCATGGAGGGCAAACACCCATGCACATAAAAATGAGAAAAATATAACATCTATATTTTAAAAGATTCTATCAGGTACATTATACGATACTGTTTATTATCTGAAACAACCACCTAATATGTATCATAATCCTATTTTTATGAGAATAAGTGAAAATCCCCAAATAAGACAATCGGTGTCAACTAGGGTCTGTTAAGACTCCTGAAGCCATTTGAGATTAAGTTTGTCCAGTATTGACTTGTTTTAACAGATTTGCACCTAAGTGCTTTCATAGATTGGATAACAGATGGCAATCTCCTTTACTTCATGCCAGTCTTTATTCTATTGATACGTTTCTTTCCCCAGTTCAAAGCTGGAGCTGTTTATATCAAATGACCCATACTAATGACAAACACTTCCCATCAATGCCATCTCAAGTGGTAAGCCTACCTCAGGCATCTCCTCATCTTCATCTTCTGAAGACACTTCTTCCTGCGTGCACTACAGTGGAGAATGGGGCAAAGACAAAGATCAGAGCCCAGTGGGTTGCTAGCATGCAGCCGCAGACCTACCCCCAAGCCCTGAATGTCTGGAAGAAGGGCACTGTGCCCATAAAGATGCCAGTTTCTCCACCAGCCACAACTAAGCGGAAGCATGAGCCCAAGGGATGGATGACTTTGCTACCAGCCAATTATTCTCTTCCTACCACATGCCAAAGAAGAAAAAAAAAAAACAGTCGTTCTTCTCATCTATTCTGCAGATCTCAGCTTCACTTTCCCGAGAACCCTCTTTCATTTGATCTCCTATAGAGTGACCATGTGTTTCTGGCTCTAAACAAAGGGCCTGGGTTTCCAAGAGCCATCAACTGCTATTGCTAAGATAAAGGTAAAAAGGCCTTCCTCATCTCAACCTGAGGGATGCTGGCCCTGGGATGAGTTCTGATAGGACAGAAGCAGTGAGTAGTGTCCCATTTAGCCAGATCCTCATCTGGAGAAGAGTCTGAGAATCACATGTGTGCTTGAGAGCAGTGGGGGTTGGAAGAAGCAACTGTAGTTCCATCTCAATTATCAAGTGTTTATCAAGTACTCTTTGGGAGGACTGAACAACAGGACCCAGAGCCCAACCCTCAACTGCATACCTGCTCTGCAGGCAAGGGCTGATCCAGCATTTCCACATCGGGATGCTGAGGGAGGTTGTAGAGTTTACACAGGTCAGAGATGATCCTCTTCAGATGCTGCAAGAGCTGGGGTGGGGACCACAGACACATCTCATACATCTTCCTTACTACAATCTGGACTGCCAGCTCACATCCCAAAATGGTGGCTAGTTCTCTAACTGGATGGCCCTCAGGGTTATAGGAATGATTTTCCCTAGTAGACCTACCCTGGACCTGCTACAGAGATCTGCCTTCTCTGGCTTCACTAAGCAACTCACCTAAGAAGTCTGCCCCAAGACGTTCCACCCAGGGTACCACCCAATCTCAGATCTAGCTGCCTCTCACAGGTATTTTGATGAAGCCTCGCCAGGAACAAATGCACTCTTCCCTCCTGACCCCCTCACCAAAGTATTCCCTTTCTTTATGTCCACCAGCCTCTCCAAGACAGCAGCCAAGTTAGGGTCATCAGACTCCACCGACCAGATGGGGGGCACAGCAGGGTATGATTCCTGAGGGGGAAAGCAGGGAGAATGATCACAAGGGGAATCAGAGAAACCAGTTTTTACTTAGCCTTCCCTCTTCCCTGAAGACTTCTGGTTCTTTTCCTTCCCACCACCATGCCCTACACTCATAAACAGCAGCTCAGCCTGGGAGGACCTGGACTAAGAAGCAAACTGCAAAGGTACTTTCTCCCAGAGTAAAAGCTAGGGAAGGCTAATGATAGCAAAGGAGGCTCTGGCTCTACTGTCCTGACTGTCACACTCCAAGTTCTCCCACACCCAGGCTAGAGTCCTTCAGTGTTTCCAAACTCCAGAATCATGGGGACGGAAGATCACCTCATAAGTCACACTGATGAGAAAAATGCAGGCTGTAGCCACCAGGGGAGGAGGAACTAAAATAAAACTGTCTCCAAAGCTAATAGTAAAAGGGTATGCGCAAGAAACCCCGCCCCCAAACAGAGCCCCTCAAAGACCCATTCTCCCTACTACTCCCTCAGGAACCTGCCCTCTCCTCAGTCCAGGCAGGCAACGGCTGGGAGAAAGAAGCCTACGCTACAGACATTCCCAGCATTCCTGAGCCACCATGCCAAAGGAGCCTAAACAGACTCCCCCACTCTGCCCAAGGCAAGGGGGCCAGTGTAGGCCAAGTTTCCTTTAGAGGGGCCGTGGGCACTGCAGCTGAGAACCCCCAAAGACAAAGACAGTAGTTGGCCTCTGGAAACTGAAAGGAAGCAGCTGGAGGAAGCAAACCTACCCGTAAGTGAATCCACTTAGCAAAATCCAATCTTTGATGTTTCAACACATGCCAAGGAAGCCTTACCCACTTCTACTGGGGATCTTAGCGATGCCATAGTTCTAACCAGTGCTGCAGGAAAAACAGTACCAAAGATGCTAAAATCTTTTCTTGACTGAGCCACTCCTGGTGGTCATAGCTTGGTGAGGTAAGCCTCAGCTTGGATAGATGATTCCCCATCAAAACTCAAGTGTCTTGTTACTACTCCACTCCCATACCTCACCAAACCATGACCTGGTTTGGTGGCAGAAAGGGATAGAAAACACCATGAAAAATGTACTTAAGTGTTCAAGTACCACAAAATTCACAAGTCTGTCTTTTCCCAGGCCACTCCCATTTCCAGTGTGGATAAAGGGACTGCCCACTAGCCCTCTAGCTAGTTCCAGGAGGGACAAGACCTTTACAGTCGGTGTTATCAACCAACGTGAACACTATACCACGGAGTACCAGGTGTTACAAAATTACACCCAGCAATTTCCTCAAGGGACACTAGGAGATACAATAAGGTAGGACACTTGTAAGGTGTTTCCTAATCTAGTATAGTTAGGATGGAATGATGCCCACTGGGGAGCAATGGCGCTGTTACTGCTCAAGACACACACATTGCTATCACCACCAGAGAAGGCAACAACCACCTAGGACAAGCAGACATAACCCCAGAAACGGGGAGGTGAGTGGCAAAGTTGCTACCAGCTGAGGCAAAAAGAGTTAAAGGTTAGTTACACCAGAGTAAGAGGAAATCCTAAGTAAACAGCTAACTATCACTTGGTGAAATTCAGGGAACCAAGATGGGTTGCATGAGGGATGCCTGGGCAGGGAACCCACAGGTGGTAACATCTGAGTGAAAAGAACTGCTAAGAAGGGTCACTACCGAACTGGGCCGAGTTCCAGGTTAGGTCCTTCCGGCAGAGACCAGGAATCTTATTAGAGTTGGGGATGGGAAGAAGAAATGGGCATTCCTAAGTGACATGGTAAAGTTGTGGAGGAGTACGCAAAAGGAACCAGAATCATAAAACCTGAGGTGTAGGTGGTTTCATAGGAGAGGGTGGTCGAGGGGCCACATGTCTGGGAGTCTCTCGCTCTCAGGGGTCAACAGTAGAGACTGTGGCTGCACCACAGAACCTCAAGCTGAACCACAGAAACAAGTGTAGTCTGGAGAGAAGGAGCCGAGCCCCAAGAGGGGACTCCGGCCTCCGGGTCCTTCGAGAGCAGGAGGGTTGTATGGTGTGATTTCGAGCACCAGACAAGGGACCCCCAGCGCGGTGCAAACGAGAAGGTCCTCACCGTGATGTTGCAGTGGATGCGGACGGGGTCCCCCGGCACCGACCCCCGTGAGGGGAGATGGGGTCCGGGCGCAGCCCCGGCCCCGGCCCCTCCGGCTCCGGCCAGCAGGAACTCGCAGCTCAGCTCGTCCAGGCAGGCGCTGGCAATGCGGAAGCGCTCGTGGCCGCGGTGGAAGATGGACTCGAGCA